TCAGATAAATCCTTTGCGGGTAACTTACTCGCAGAGTTTTGCTGTGCTACTATACATTTGAGTTGACTGAATTGTCTCATTATGCTTGGTTCTCTCGCTGTTTCCAGATTCTAACAAAGATGCGCCGTGGAGGAATTTGAGGGCAGCTTCAAAATACAGGGCTGTACTTTCAGTTGATCCAGAACTCTGCAATAGAGACCATGTTAAGAAACAAGCAACAAGTTAAAGCCCACAACTACATCAGATTCAACAGGATGTGTATAAACCTTGAGACGATCAGCCATGTGTTTAACGGCTTTTGCCTCTTTTACAGCATTCATAGCAGCATGACTGGAGGAATCCCTTCGATTAGGACTTGGGGCTTCAACATCCCGACCCTTGTGCACTTCTGGAGTGGGATGTCTCATACTAAAGGGCTGGTTTCCACTCATCTCGGCTTTTTTACCCTGTCTATATGCCTTTGAGGCATCACCATTTTCAAATGCATCATTTGCCGAAATGTTTTCTCCATTTTCTTTCTTAGATCCAGACATACTTGTTTCAGCCTGTCCTCTCGCTAAGGGTGGCAGTGAGTGTGACTTCCCTCTCCCATTGGATTCAAACCCCACCCTGTCGCTTGTACCTGATGCAAGCTTTTTGGATGATTTTTCGTCATCATGGTCCCGCTGAAGTTTTTGCTTCTTATCATGGCCTTTAGTAACATCTGAACCATTATAGCCTGCAAATTTTAGCTGACTTTCTCCTTTATCATTATCACTCAATATTCCTTTAGCAGAATCACTCTTTGAAATGAATATCTTGTCCACCTTATCAGGAGTGACAAATTTTTCGTCACACTTGTTTTGTCTGCTCTTCAATTTTTCCTCGTAGGAATGCAAATGATCAACAGATTCAAGGGAAGAATTTGAAATCTTGTTTTTACCTTTATCAATGTCTGATCTAGAATTATGATACTTGTCTTTAGACCGCGAAGAATACCCCTTTCCAGACTTCTTTGTCTGATGCCCACTGGTCTGAGTATTTGTTCTTTCTTCATCTTGGCATTCCTCATTACCTTGACCTAAGCAATCTATATAGACATTGGTAACATGTTCAGTACCAAAATCAGGACAAGTTAAACTCTCTGCCTTGACCTTACCATCAGATGGTTGACTCAAATCCCTATTTGGAAATTCAAGCACACGGGACTCTCGTGAATTGTGATGGGTGACGTTGTGAACTGTGTCATTTATCACCATTCCAGGTCGCTCATCACCCCCATTATCTTTAACACCCCAAAAGCTTCCTGGACTGGCCATAGTCAAAATCCCACTATCCTGAAACTCATCTTTGTGAACAGGGTTCCTTCCTGCTGATGAGAACTTATCTGCATCAGGATACCTAAAAGGGGATGAAGACACTGATTCAACAGGGGAACCTTTCATTTCATGGACACTGGGTTTGTTTTTACATGACCCAGAAACCTTTGAAGAGCTCGAATTGGCAGCAACAGAGAATTGTAGAGAACCCGTACTACTTTTCATATAATCTACAGCATTTTCATTCAGTTGGTCTTTCATACTCCTACCTTTTTTGTCCA